GCAGTGTTATTTTCACCATAGCATAGTGGTGCTTGCTGACAGTCACTAAGTACCTCCAGTGAACCATCATACCCTCCCATCACTAGAGGGAATTTTGTGTAATGGATGGGGCTGTCTTTTCTATATATTTACCTAATCTTTGGTCATCCAACAAAAGCATGAGCGAAAACCTTCTTAAGGTCAGTCTTAGGAGGTGAAATGTGAATTTAAGAAGTGTTCTTAAAGCTAGAGTGAGTACACAAAAGGAGCAGAGCTATACTGTGGAGTGCAAGATTATCAGGACTTCACTGCTCAGTGACAACTTCCTCACTTAAGATGACAGTAACTTTTTTGTAAGCAAGAATTTGGAATTTAATTAAAAAGAAAATACAGAAAGCCACTTCTTTAATAGGAAAATTTCAGGAAATTAAAGAAAATATACTGTAGCGGGGAATTCCATGTGGCAATGTGCAATTTTTACATAGGGAAATAAATTCTAAGATTATTTTTACATAAGGATAAATACGTTCTAAGATTCTCATGTGGTTTTGCTCAGGTTGCCAGTTACTTCCTGAGTGAAGCAGTCAGACACTTAAAGATTCCTCCCAAGTATCCAGTTCACAGATGCACATAAGTGAACGGAGTTTTTCTGTTTTCACCTTGTAACAATACTTGATTTCAGCTCCACTTCATGGTACGTAACCTCTCTCTGAAACGTTAATGCCTATGGCTTCATTTCAGGTTGTTGATGTTAAACTTCAAAAACTTGAGATGGACAGCAAATAACAAATTATTCTGTAATTCCTTTTAAACTCTTACTCTCAATACTTATGACAGAAAAGTTGGCCTGCATTAGAAGTGGCTAAAGAATGAAAATTCTCTAAGTCCTTCAATAAAACAAACAAAATCACAGCCAGTCATTCTGTCCATTTGTCGTGAGGAGAAAAATCTGACTTGCTGACCCAGCAGGCAATTGCATCAGGCTGAATACGTCATAGAGATGTGATAGTACCAAATCTCTGATAGCAAGATGGTGGAGATATGGTGTCAGAACAGTTGCAAAGCACAGTTAGCAGTTAAAAAGAGCAAGAAAAGTGTGCTCCTACTAGTAGACGACCTTTCTGAACCCCTATCTCCTAATCAGGAATTAGAAAGCAAAAGGGAGGAATCCTTTTGCCTTCTTAAGGCATGCCTCTGCATGTACCAGGAGAACTGAGAGGAATCCAGGGATGGGAATATTTCTGTTTATCTGAGATGAGTTTTTCCTTCTCTCCTGAACTCATCTCACTGGTGACTCCCCTACCATTACCTCCACCCACTTTGAAATGCACTATTATGTCTTTATGGTATAACTTCTGTAATAAAATTCTTTCCTCCTATGGCAGCAGTTTTTACCTCTTTCAAAACAAACCCAGAACCCCAAAACAAAATGTAGCATTATCAATACTGCGCTCAGTCACTCATCGGTTAGGAAACTATAGTTATCAGAATATCTGCAGAGGAATAGAGTGTTTCATCACAAAATCAAGACAATAGATGACGATTTTCTACCATAATCTATTTTCCTATCATTTTCCTATTATTTAAAGTTTTGTTGCTCTAATTACTTAGAAAATCTGCAGTTACATATTTATTTTGTGTGTATGTATATATTTATTTATAAAAATCAGACTGGCAAAGAAAGCTAGAAAAGTTGGGTTATAAGTAAAATCATACAGAATATACCTGGAGCTATTCTCATTCTTCTGTGGTCTTTCTGGGGGTTTTGCTTCTCTTTTTTTCCCTTTTCCTTTTTCTTTTTTTCTTTTTAACTGTGATAGCTGGATTTTCATTAGGAATACTGTTAGCAGATTACAAGCTTTTTTTGATGAACTATAAAATCTATCCAATTTGTGGCACAATGAACAAATAGTAAGTAAGGATTTCATTCTTTCAGCGAACAGTTACTAAAAGTATTATGAAATCTTAAACATCGAAAGGAAGGTGCAACAGAAACAGATACTTTTCCTTGTAGATTTACATAAAAATAAAAACCGATTCTTTCACTGACCATCTCCTAAGGCACATATTCAGAATAAATATTTTCCAACAGCACTGAAAAAGGGTGCACAAAATAATGTGATTGCTGGTTCTCCTGCAAATTGATCTGCCCCTTATATGCAAAGAGGTCCATATATGCATGTATAGATACATACCTACATGCAGGCACAGGCTCACACACACACACACTCCTTTTTCAATTGAAAAGAAAATCTACTCATAGAAATAATAGCTACATAGTAGCAGTTTCATACCCACCACTTCTATTTTTTTAAGATTAAGTATGTGCAGTATGCTAAAAGCAAGAATTATCTAAAAAAAGTCAAACAAAGCCCTTATTGACCATTTCTTCAGATGAGAAAAAGCAATATGGAAGTTAATTTTACCACTTTTAAAGACAGGAGTAAACTAGAACTTCAGATCTACATGTTCCACACAGGCTTGGAACCTCCAATTTTCAATAAATATCTGACCTTTTGTTTTATTTCTGATCTTCTATTCTGAGTTTTCAGAAAGAAGTAACTATGTATATCTTGTATCTGACTTACAATCATGTAAGTCATAGGAAAAAAAAGACAAATTCAGGAAAAACTATAGAGGCTACATATACATTTCTGTATTTTTTAGACTTCCTTTAAAATACATGCTCTGTGTCAACAGCACATCTTCAGTTACTGAAGAACTGTAGCAAATGCTCACACCAGACATCACTTCTGTGGAGGCCCATACACTCCCAAACCAGTTCTGAAACTTCAGAATTTGGCTATTGTAACAGATTTTCATGTAATTAATTTTAAGGACCTAGTTTATCTATTATACCGTAATTTATTTTTTTTTTAAATTCTGAATAGTGGAGACAATAAGTTATTTATGCACAACACATTGAAGTGAATTAGATCTTTTTTAGATTTCTCCTCCTCTCTTGTACAGGAGGGAAGGAAAGGGTGTCCCTGATTTAGCATAAGCATTTAGTCCCCAACAATGGATATTCTCTGGAAAATTTATCAAGTTTCATGCATATATTGTTCTAAAAAAATTGCATTAATTCAACTCACTGATTTCTGACAATTTAACTAAAAAAATAATGACTGATAAAACATGCCACATCTTATTTGCTCTGCTTATACCACAGATAGTACTGTTTGCCTGAGCCACAGTAAGGCAAAGTAAATATCATTCTCAACTCTGTTTTACAATCATGAAAAATACATAATTGTACTTTTCATATTTGATTTGCTCTTTGAGTTTCATTCTAACTTTAGGTGCTTCATTCCTTGCAAAATTCCTATTGTTTTGAAATTTACACTAAGCAAAAATTGGAGAGCTATAGTATCTTTCGGTGAAGAATGGGAGCATCTGAGCTTTAAATAGATAATGCTAAAAAGTGTGTGGAAGTCACCGCTGGGATTTTAAGTGAATTAATAATTCCACTGAGAAGGAAGAGGCAAATCATCTTGAGTTTGGTAGCCCCCTGTGCCTTCCTCTTACTCATACAGTTGTAGCTGCTGATCAGAGCTGGACTACTGAGTAAGATGGAGCCAAGAGTTGCTCTGTCATAGCAATTCCTTTTTCAATCAAATCTAGGAGCTAAAAAGGAATGCCAGATCAAACCACAAAAAATTCTGTAAAATAGTTAAAATATTTCTTCTTTAGTAAGTGGAGTAAACATCAACCCAAAATCCCTTTTCTAATACAATACCACTTTTAATTACTTAAGAGCATGTGACTGATTCTAATGCATTTAAAATAACATCTTAATCTATGCAAATATATATATTCTAATCTAACACTCAGGTAGAGGGCATTTTTGAGCAACACAAGATTAATTACAATTCTGGGCTTCAAATATGTCTAGTACATCTACAAGTTGGTCCAACTGCATGATTATAGCCTTTCTGGCTAAAATTTCATAAATGAGTAGTGTAGAAATGTATTATAATCTTTTTGTTAGAGCTGACCAAGTTTTACATTTTGAAAGAATCACTTCTACCACTCATCTGGCAAGAAAAGAAAATCAAGGAAAAAGGGTGATATATTTGATGATAGAAATAAGCAATATTGTTACTTACCTTAGTTTAGATTGCCCTGACTATGTGAGAGGAGTGCTGCAATATGCGTGCACTCTATGCTAGGGCTGAGGCTTTTCCTCTTTCTTTTCCTTATATTAGCAAGAAAGAACCCTTAGGGTCAGGTCCTGCTCTCACTGAAAACAAGAGTAAAAGTCTTCTTTGGGTTCAATAGGAGCAGGACAAGGACTTTAAAACATCTTTTTTTTCTTTTGTATCTTTCTGTACGAGCTTTTATTCCTTCAGGCTATGCACATAAGAAGCTTTTAAGATTTATGAAGTAGCAATAAAGAGTTGGAAGTCTTATGATCCTAATGAAGCATCATGCTGTCATATAATTTATCTGAACTGACTGACCCCAATTTGCCAGTGTTGTTTTTAAATAAAAAATATCGGATTTACTCTGGACTAGGAAATGAAAGGTAATTTTTAAAAACATATTTTTTGCCACTACAGGTACAACCTTTTATCCGAGTTACATAACTGCCATTCATTTGCTCAGATTCCAATTCCCCCATTCATACTCAACTCTTCTGCTAAAAGAAATTTCCTATACATAAAAAGCTGCTCTTAGCCAAACCATTATCCACTGTTCATACCCACATATGTATTTTTGCATTTCCTTGCCTACCTGTAAACAAGGCTTCTAAGAGATAAAAACATTTTTTGTCGATAAGGACAGAAAGTTGTTATGGTACATGTTCTAAAAGGCATTTGTATATTGTTTCTTGCAGATGCCTAATCATTAAAGAAAATTAATACCTCAGAAATTTATTCACAGCTGGAAAATCTCTCCTGAGCGGTCTATATCCATATACATGTAACACAGATGCCACAGATGAAATAACAGTAACAGGACTCTCACCACCATGTTTGGTGAGAGTCCTGTTTCCGAAGAGTGTGCATCTCACTCACCTGTTTGGCTAAGTTGAGACGTGCTTCTGCTCCTTCGAGACACTATGGCAACCACTTTGGCACTAAGGCTGGAACGCCTTTTCTTCCCACCTGTTCCAACTGTGCCGACAGCCGTGTCCGACTGACTCCCATCATTGTGCTCCAGCTTATACATCTCTCCGCTCACACTTGTGCTCTTAGTGATTCTCCCTGAAGTCCCCATCCGTCTGCCTTGCATTTTAGGAGTAAATGTACTACAGTTACAAAGTAAAAACAAACATGTTAATTTGTCTGTGTAACAGCATTTCCAAAAACCTTTTTTTTTTTTTTAATTTGTAAATTAATTTTAAGTCTTGATACATTTTTATTTATTTGGTTCACAAATAAAAGGCTAATTTGATGCTCCTCGGAGGATGTATTTCCAGTATTATAACTCGTTCTTCATTTCTTCAAGGGAAATAAATAAAATTAAAACCTTCCTGTTTTTCAGAGTGACAGAGAGACACACACCATTTAAAAGTCATGTGCAGCCTCCCTGTCTACACCCCGAGAATAAAGAAAGCAATAAACCAGCAATTTCATAACCGAAGTAAATTTATATGGGCCAAGATAATATATGTAGCTTAATACGTGTATCTTATTGGCACTGTTCACCAAAGCCTTAAGACCTAATAGATAGGAAGACACCACCTCCTACATTTTCATACTTCACAGGAAGAAATAATACAATATGTAGTATTTTTTAGATTTTTACTCTCTCACTTCTTTAAAGCTAAATGCAATAATCACAGTATGAAGGCAAAATAATTTTGAGGCAAAAAACCCTAATAGCCCCCTATAATTTTCACTGAGTGACAGAAAAATGAATCCCTGTCAGTTCTGTTTAATTTCCCTTAACTATCCTATTGCATTTGAATGTTTCTATAGGAATCCTTTTTCTGCTCCTGCACAGAGAGGCTGGATAAAGTATTCAGAAACACGCTCTAGAGAAAAAAATCTCAAATACACACAGGACATAATGACACACAGTCCTAACACTGCTAATGACCGAGTGATGCCCGAGCAATAACGGCAATACAAAGTTAGCTATCTGCAGAGGCCCAGAAATTTAAGCTGCAGCTTGACTCACTTCAGATGCAGTAGTTATATCAGCCTAGTATGTCCCTGATCTTGTATTGCTGATTAGTAGATCTACTGGCAACATACTAATTTCAGTGATTTTTTTAATTTTTTTTAGTAATTCTGTATTTTTAAATAAAATTTTGAATTCATTTGTTGAGGGACAGTCCTGCTGTTCCCCCCAGCAGGTTCCCTTCTCAGCAGATGTGACAGACTGCTCTTCACCCTACCACCCTAAAATAAGAAAGAGAGGGGTTAGAGGTGCAGCCTTCTTTATCTCAGGGCAAGTTTCAGACAGGAAATGTTGCCAGGGAGAAATGAAGGGGTCTGTGGGAGAACTGACATCCTGTGATTTCTACAGCTCCAGACCCTGCTAAAGCTTAAACCACTGCTGTCCAAAGACAGATCCAGGAAATAAAAAATGATGTATACTGAAATTATGTTTTACTGACAGTTACCAAGATTTACTAATGTGTGACCATATGTAAAAGCAGATAAAAATAGACAATATTTTTTTGAAGAAGAAGCTGGAAAAATGAAGTCCTTGAACAGACAACTCTTAATAGAAAGGTCATTAAAAATCTCTTCATAGGCATTTAACTGCGTTCAGCACTTATGATCTGCTCCTGTTAAAAAAAACAGCTACCACCACACAGAACGAGGTGCCGTGTGATCCACTGAAGTGCTCAAGAGCACATTTTAGTGGATCACCTGAGGCACACTGAGCTTAAAACGGCTTCTGCCTTGTTCCCTCCTATCCCACTGCCACTTTAGTGACTGGCTTTTGGGTTTGCATGGCAAAAATTGAAGGATTTACGTATTTTGATTTTTCTATGTAAAATTCCTTTGTATTTTATTGTAGATCTCCCCCAGCCCACACTCCCTCAAATGCATACAAACAAACTCAGACACGGGCATATATATATATATATAAAAATATATATACACACACACACACACACACATTCATTCTAAGAAGAATTTTAACTGCACTTTTTGTTAATTTAAAAAAAAAAAACCTCACAAAAAGACCATCTTCCATAAATATGGAAGTATCAAGGAAAAGATTTTGTGTAAGGAAAACTAGTTCCATTCACTTAAAATTAATAGAAAATTGAGAAAAAATGCACTAAAATATTTCCCATTTTCAAAATAGAGACAGGTTTTCTTGAAGGAGATAAATATTAATTTCTTAGCTTTAATATAATTTATGTCCCTAATATCATACAGGTTTTTAATTCATAGGCTACATATACTGCTGCTTTTTAAAGTTGCAATGATCACTAAATAACGGTATTTTTATTGTTGTTTACAGAATGCAATGACATCAACTTTACAAAATATCTAACCTAGCAGCTACTTTTGTTTCAAGTAACACAGATTTCCTTCTTTACCTCTCCATAAACACTGTAACATGAAAAAATATGGACTGGGATTGCCCATGCTCTAAGAATACAAGAGTCATTATTCTTCAAATAGCAAATTAATTTAAAAACGCAGTGATGAAATCACAAAATTCAAGTTGAAATTTCTGATAAAAATATTTTTCTACAATTTGAGAAGATTTTGTGTTGTCTGTCTTTCTTAATTTGGGGGATGGATATTGGTCCATAGCTGTAGCACCGAATTCTGGCTATGGGCAGAAAATCCTAGGAAATGTTTTCTCTTTAAGAAGGATGTTACTAACTTGCACACTTATCAAGAAAACCTTAAAATTAGAGATCAAATGTACAGTGCGATGATAATGTCTGAATATGCAATGAACCTGCCTCATTAGCTCGGAGTGGTGTCACACAATCCTCCGTAAACAGAAACTTCAATCCCTAATTCAGTATACCAGGGCTTGCCAACATCATTTCCACATCAGCCAGTTTCCAAATGCTGAGCCCCTTTTCCTCCTCTGCCGGACAGACACGGCCCCACACTCCTGCTCATAGGGTGCTAGGTGGCACCACCATGGACTGGTTTGCCTCTCTGGAGGAGGAGACACTGCCCCTTCAAGCAGAGAGCGGAACAAAAATATAGTCTGATACTCAGGGGTGGGCACAATCACACGGGCCTCATTTTCAGGGGTCCTACAATCTACTTTGATTAGACATGGATAATTCAATTCCACAAGGATAATTCCATTCCACCAGCACTTGGAATGGGATTTCAGTGACTATTTCTGTGATGCTGATGATGCTCCCTACTCAAAACTTTCTGTGGTCATTTTGTTCCCATTTTGAGCCATGGAGTTGCTGTCAGTTCTGGAACTCTTGAGTTCATGCAACAATACTTTAGTAAGAGAGAGGGAAGAAATTGTAAATACATCTTTCGAGAGCATCTGTTGACATTTGAGCTATATTGACATGTACTTTGCTGACATACTAATCTATAAATGTATCATTTGCAGCAGTAAAGTTTAATGAAGTATAAGATCTGCCGTGCAATTAAAGAAATAATTGTTTATCATACTCTCAGCTTTGCTTTACTCACTTTCACGTGTTTGTGAATATAATAAATATTAATCTTATGATATTTTGATGCTAGTCTTCACTTTTTTTGTACAACGGAGTTGAAATGCTCTAATCTCACATTATTTAATAAGAGTTTAGGAGACAATGATGTCCATCAACTGAGAAATAAGAATCAATAGTATTGTAACTTCAGGAAAATCCTATTTTTGATGTATTAACTATGAATACTTTCTGAATAATAGATAAATTGCTTTTCCAAAGACCCACATAAATTTCAGTTTTCATTCTTTGTGACAGGTAGAGGTACCCAGAAGATTCACCTTAATAAATAAAAAAGATTAAGATATTTGGAATTCAGATTAATCTTGTACTTGCTTGTAAGTTGCAAATATCAAGTCCTACTTTCCTAGGAAATATGTTCTAGTGTACTTCTGGTATAAAATAGCTATTAGCTTGCTAGAAACAGGCTTATATGGGATCGGACCAAGGATCAAATCCTACAGCTGTCCAATACTTTCCCTTGTCATAACTAAACAAACAGATTAATATTCCTTTGCGTTCATCTAATCCCCGGGCTAGTTTATTATTTGACATTAATTGGAACAGTATCAAAAGAACAGACATTTGAAATTCAGTCTTCTTATAACAACTAATTGAGTACCCTTAGAATACAATATTTTTGCATTCCATTACTGGCTATCACTCAGAGAAATAGCTCCTAGCTCACACTGTTACTTTCATCAATATGCTTAGAGTTTAAATTATGAGGCACAAAGAAGCAAAAGACCTGCATGAATTTACATATATCCTTTTGCACTTAACCCTTCTGTTAATAACAAATCTAAAATTTTATTTTCTTTTACTGGACTTGCTGAGATTATTGACACATTCGTTTAAATGCAGACAAGTCTTTTCAGGCCTGTGGCTAAATTTGCTAAATTAAGTTATACTGTTGATTCAAACCCAGTTATCATAACACAATAAATAAACATTTTTCAGCATCAGGATAACGAAGAGTAAAATATTTATGAATACATTCCATTTATTTCTAAATGGAATAATTCACTACATTTTTATCTAAAACTATTTTACTATCTCTAGCAATTCTTTCAATGAGTACTTCAGCAAAAATCTTATGCTATTTCTAATTATTGGCATATAAGCTATTTCTAATTATTAACAACATCATCAATGTGTATATTAAGAATAGTTACAGACAATCTATCTGTACCTCTGTTTTACTTCATAGGTATTTAGCATGGAAAAAAAGTCACTTTAATTTTTTTTTTTTTAATTGAAGTAAACAACTTCAAGCCCAAACCCCTTGACCCCAGCAGGAACAAAGCCACCCTCCCCACCTGAGCTCCTCAGAGTTGTCCTTCAGCACGGGGTTCACCTACTACCTCCAGGCTCCTGCATCAGCTGGGCAGCCACTGCTACCTTTAACAGGGGAAAAACACTTATGTTTTCCTACCAAAACTTACACAGTTGAGATGCATCCTGTCTAAAGGGGTATCTCTACTACACAAGGCAAAACCAGGACTGCATTTAAATGTCAGCCATCAGAGCTGTGAAAAAAAGCAGCACTTTCGGTTTTACAAGCTGCCGCTACCTGAGAGTTGTACTTGTATCTGTGGGAACAAAGAATGAGCTATTAAAGATAAAAAAATTATTCA